GATCCATTCCTCAGACAGACAGGGGTGGCTGTGGCATGTGGGCCTCAGCCACAGCAACCAGCAGGAAGTCAAGTCATGTGATTTCCACCAGCCTAGGCTCCTGAGTCCATGGTTCAAATGAGTGGCCATCTCTAGTTTAAGGCAACTTCCAGGCCCCCTGGCCTCTGCCTCTGGTCTGAGGCAGAAGTTAGTGATACTTCCTTTGCCTCACCGCTCATACTTATGAGAAAAAATATTCCAAAATGCTAAAGACTGAATTTAACCTCATAAATCATCTGGATGCACTCCATTCATGACCAGCGAAGAGGCGGTAGGAGCTTTATACCAATGGTTGCATATTATTACAATGAGGAAAGGGCACACACAAAACCTATGCAGTGGGCCTGGGGCTGCAGACATGAGGAGTCACAGCTTGCCTGCTGAGCACAGAACCTGCTTCCTAAGGGCTTATGGACTGTTTTGGGATCTGTTGATTCCTTGGTTCTGAGACACAGGTCCCGCTCTTCTCAACTGTCTGTAAGAGCTCAGTTAGTAAGTCAACCGTAGGCAGATAGGGCCCATGTGCCTCTGCACAGCGCTTGACAGACCTCTGAGGAGTCAAGGGTGAGATTCCTCAATGCCTTTCCCTGACTTCCAAGTGGTGAGTACAGCTCTGCCTCCTCCTTTGGTCGCTTGGTGAGAAGGCACACTGCCTGCCCAGTTCCCCAAACCTGGACCGTGGAGGCGCCTGAGTCCTCCTCTCGGTCTTGTGAGTGCTAAACGGCTCTTGGATCCATCATCCACTCTCGATCCTTGCCACCATTTGTCTAGTTCAGACCACCACTCTCTTTACTAGGTCACTGCTCATTCTCTCCACTTCCAGGCTTCCTTTACTCCAATTCATTCTTCCTACTGCACTCAGAACAATCTTTCAGAAACATATATCTGATTACATCACTTCTCTACCTAAAATACTTCAATGCATTTCAATTACTGTTAGGTTAGAATCTGAACTTCTTGGCCTGCCTGACCTGCCATGCTGCACTTCCTCAACGCCCTGGGCATGCTCTGGTCACCGTCAGGCCCTTCACTCTTGCTTTCCTTCCCCTCATTTTTGTTGGCCCAATTCCTTCTTCAGGGCAAAGACAATTTGAATAGCACCTCTTCTGGAAGCCTTTGCTAATCCCCCAGGACTGGGTTAGAGCAGGCCCTGGATAAAGATCTGCTGAATAAATGAACGAAAGCATCAAGTGCAATAAAATATACATGCCACATGACCTCCCAAGGCAGCTGCTTAAGCAGCTACCCTGTGGGGCACCCACATGCCCCCAAATTTTTCCTACATAAAAGTCTGAGCAAATCCCATTAATCAGACAGCCATCAGAAAACGGTTTCTAAGACTTATTGGTATATACATATTTTTGATACAAAACTCATCAAGTACAAAAAGGCATTCAGTACAAAGTTTCTCCTTCCCTCCTCCTGTGGCGCCGAGCCCTAGTTCTCCTCCCCAGAGGCAACCACTGATAACCAGATTTGGGGTATGCTTCCTCAGAGAGTCCATGCATATACAAGTATACAGGAATATACAGAATCACATTTCCTTAAGTTTCTATCACACTCAAAATCCCTATCCTCAAGGTCTCCATGTAAGACCTAGTTGTGGCAACAGCACGTAACTTAGAAATTCAAATGAAGAGTACGTTAGCATTTTGTTTATTCTGTTTTAAAAGGTTCCTCACATGCCCTTTCTGTTCAGAAGCTTCAACAATAAGATGGACCATCCTCAGCCAGAAGGTCAGGGAAGCCTCCTAATGAAGGTGACACTGTTGGTGTCTATACTCCCAATCCCATTTAGGAAGGTCACTCTGGAGGCTACAGGGGAGACAGGAAAGGCAGCCTGGTGAGCCTAACACCAGAACCCCAGGCCCTGGTGCAGCCACAGGAAGCGACTGGGGCTCTGGAAACCAAGTGAGGCAAGGTGAGGAGGCCAGGCCCAGAATGTGGCCCAGTGGGGAGGCAGGAAGGGGTTCTAGAAGGCTCAGCACATTCCGGAGATGGGAGATACGGCAGCCGGATCCTGCAAGAGACCCGTGAGATTCCCAGGGGTGGAAGACAAGAATAGCTGTGGTGGGTCTTGCAGTGAGGAGCCAGAAAAGGCTGAGTGAAGACCTATAAAGGCCCTAGGACTCTGTTTGGTATCTTCTTGGGCAAAAGAAACTTGAAGTCAGACGAGTGCAAACATGCCCACCTAAGTGGCGTGCCCCAGGGTCACAAGCATATAGGCCTTGGCCTGCCCAGAAAAACGTTGAGATCTTGGTCGCTGACAGATGTTTTACCCAAAGTACTGTCTGCCTCACAAGTACCGTATTGAGAAACCCTGTGGGCTTGGGATTCTAGGGCAGGAACTGGACACAGAAAAGGGGCTTTGCTTTATAGTGAAACAAGCAAAAGGATTATCTCTAGCATTCCTTAGGCCAGCTATGCAAACTGCCACCTGCCAAGAGGAAATACCATCTGCAAGGCAGGTACAGCAGTTAACTGGAGCACAGGGTGAAGAGGCCCTGCTGGATGGCTTTATCTTGCTTGGGCTAGGAGCTTCTTTCTGCTTTGTATCAAGCAGTGGATACCCAGATTTGGCCAAGCTCTCACCAGTCTGGGCTGTGAGTGAGCAAGCAGCTTGCCTGACCCATTCCCAATGGTGGAGAAACATCTCTGAGGTCTGACTATCCTAGTCTGGACTAAAGGCTTCCAGCAGCCCAGGAGAAAACAAAGTTCACTTCTTTTAACTATCTATAGATACTTCTAAAAGCAGGGCATGATAGTAAAATATCTCTGCTCTGCTTACAAACTCGCATTAGAATGAAACTTGCTGTTTAAGCAGAGATTATTTCCTAATCCTTAGATTTCTGTAATATGCATCATCTTGGGTCTAAAATATCATCCTTTTCTTATTGTAAAATAATCCTTTGTTGTAAAAGCAATGAATCAGGAAGCCTGATTCATGAATAGGAGCAAAGGGAGGCAATATGCTCCCTTGGGATATAAAGTGTTTGTCTACTGGTGGCAGCTCCGACCTCCACGTGAGCCACCAAATCTCCAAGGATAAAAGAAATACAGTTGGCCCCTGAACAAAGTGGGTGTTAGGAGCATTACAGTCAAAAATCTGTTTTTGACTCCCCAAAAACTTAACTAATAGCCCACTGTTGATGGGAAGCCTTACTGATAACACAAATAGTCGATTAACATATATTTTGTATGTTATATGTATTACATACTGTATTCTTACAACAAAGTAAGCTAGAGAAAAAATATTATTAAGAAAATCATAAGAGAAAATACATTTACAGTATTTGTTGAAAACTATCTACAAAGAAGCGGACCTGCACAGTTCAAACTCATGTTGTTCAAGGGTCAACTATACTTGCCTTTTATCTGCTCCTGCCCGAGACAGCCCATGCCCATGGGGAGCCAGGTCAGATCAGTCCACAAGGTCCCCTGGGACTGGGCCCACACGCGAGGGGGAAATATTTATCAAGGCTCAGTCACTCCACAAGCCCCTTGGAGTTCAGAAAACAGCATATGGCCTTAAAGTTATCTGTCCATATCGGAGCACATCCCTAGCTTTATAAAATCATACAAGTTGCCTTTGAACACTGAGTTGGGAGGCAGCGTTAATGAAATATGCCTATTAAGTGCCAGAGAGAATGCAGTTTGTCTTGTAGTACTGGCCCAGGTTCACGGACAGTGAGGACTTCTCCAAGGCTCTTTGCCAGCAGCCTGACCATCTGTGCTTTATGAGCAAAAAAAAGCAGAGGGGCACTGAGGGAGCCAATGCCAAGGAGCCAAGGCACACTAGGGTGCAATAATATGATGGACAGAAGCTGACTATACCCCATACCCTTGGCTTTGACCATGACTTCCAAACATATATCTGAGGACCAGGTAGCTTTCCTTGGTTAGCTCCTGGACTTGTTTTCTCTTATATTTTCTATTTCAAGGACAGGTACCACAAACCTTCCCAATCTCTCCAGGTAGAAACCTAGGAGTCATCCTAGCTACCTCCTTTTCCAACTCAGGCCCTACATCTAGTCTGTTATCAGATCCTATTGACCTAACCTTCATAAAACTTCCTTAATCTACCTGGGGTGCATACTGAGGGTGGACCCATTCCACTCTGCTTCTGGGGTACAGTGCCTAGAAAGCAACAGGGGCCTCTAAAAGCTGGACCTGAGACTCCTAGTGCAGGAGTCCAACATACACATTCCTCCTCCAGTGACCTGGCCTCCTGCCCTGTGCAGCACCCAGCTCAGCTGTTTCCTAAGACAACAGCTTTGGTATGCTCTGTTGTCTCTGCTCCCTGTGGACTGGCAGTGCACTCAGCAGGCAAAACTGTGCTGGGGACACCGAGTTATTTTCTTCTGATTTCTACTTGCTGGGATGGCTCAGGAAGCCCAGATCCCAGGTTTTCTGACAACAATGAGCATTTTATCACCACTGTAGGAAATTCAAAAGTTATTCTGGGCCTCTAGGCACCATAGCTAATATGATTAAAAAGTGCTGCTTCCAGGACAATGCAAGGTTGAGTCTAACCTGCAGGATAGGTGGATTTTTCTAAATGTTACCAAGGAGGTGTGAACAATTCCAATGCATGTAGTGGGGGCGGGGATTAAGGGAGAAGGTCCTACTGGGCCATACTTTGCACTCGTGAGACAGGAGGAACAAGATTTTGATGACCCAGAGGCTAGGTACACCTATTCAGTTCACTGGTATTAGTTGAAAGGCCGGGGCAGATTTAAGCCCAGCTCAGGACAGGTGTTGCCACGGCAATCTGTCATCATTAAGAGACAAACTTTGGAAGAATCTGCCTATCAAATATGATAAAAGATGTCAAAGTTTTCCTTGGATCAATTTTGTTTGTTTTAGCTTTTAGAATGGTAGGTAGGAGCATGAAGAAAACTCTGTTGCATCTAAACAGAATTTGAAAGGCATGCAAGCGGGAAGTAAAGCATATTGCTTACCTTGTGAACACTGGTCAAGACATTTAGGAAAGAGAAATCTAGGGGGAAAAAGAGAGAAATATTTTAAAACCATTAATGTCAGAGTTGTCATTGATTATTCACAAAAATGTGAATGCCACTGATATCCAAGATGACTTGCTCGATGGGGCAAGCGGCAGGGAGTACTGAGCATTAAGGATAGCCATGGCTATTCAAGAAGTTTTCAGAGCTTTGAACCAAAGCTCCTTAAGCCAGGAACCCCACAGAAGTCCCTTCGTGGCCAATTCTTGGTTAAATGTTGAAGAGTAGGTCCAGGGGCATGGCCAGTCTCTAGACTATAGAGATACTGCCCTTACAGTAAAGCGGAAATTTCAAGGGAAAGTGAGAACTCCATTTACCTAACTCTGGCAGGGATCTTCAGCACCAAAGCTGCCATGCTTCCCCTCATGTGGATGCTACCATGTCGGTTTCCCTTTAATTCCATTCTGAGCTTTAATAGTGAATGAGAAGCAGGAAACTGACTGAATCACAATTGAAGCAGGTGAGGGTGACTCATCCAAAGTGTAAGCTAGTTAATAATTGTAGCTGTCTAGGAAGCTCCAGAGAAAAGCTCACACTCAGTGCTTTAAATCTCCTAAAAGGTCATAGTGCTTTTTCTCAGGGAAGAAAGAACACCAATGAGAACAGCTGCCTTTTATCAAGTTCTTACAATGGGGCTGAGCACCGTGCAAGCAGTTCACGTATATAATCTTGTTCTGTCCTCACATCCACCCTGTGCCCTGGGTACTTAAAAGCTGAGAAGAGTGGGTTTAGGATGGCTAAGCAGTCTAAGCACTTTGCCCAAGGCCTCACATGAAGTTAGGAAGTGGGAGGGCTTATGCAGTGACCCAGGTCTGTTTGGTACCACAGAGCTCCTGTGTTTTCTTTCCCTGCAAGTGAGATGCTTCCAGAAGCCAAACTTCTGAATCATTGCTGGTTTAAGTGGCAGTATTAATGCCATTCAAAACACTGGGGGAATTTCTCTCCTGCAATTTCTTTGGTGGTGGCAAGTCTTCATCCTTCTATTTGATTTCTGAAAACAGCCAGACACACACCATTTGAAACCAAATTTGGTGCATGAGTGAGCTGGATGAGTACCACTTTTGGGGCTGTGGATCTAGTCTCTTGTCTGACTCCCTCATGGTTTTTGAAGGATTCCAAGGAGGAACCCTGAGCCAAGGTCAAGAGCTGTGGAATATCCACACCAGACTCTCCTAAGAACAGAACTCACCGACTTCACCATACTCACAGTCCACAAAATAGCCCACCACAAAACAAATATATTCTTAGGCAGTATCTGCCCCATCAAGTTCCTGTGACTTAGAGTACATGCCCTTAAAGGCCCTTCTTAGCACTCTGTTTCTCACAGTAGCCCACAGTAATTCACATCAGAAGCATCTTAGATAAGGATGAGCAAAGTTCCCCTCAAGGCATCTTATCCAGTCACAGGTTGGGTGCTCATGTTTTAAATCCTTGATGGGATAGGGTCATCAAGCTGCTCCCTTTAAGCAGCTGCAAAGAAAATATTCAGAACACATGGACTTGCATACATATGGTCCCCTAAAACTGGAATGTAATGTCTCATATCTTGACATCTTTGGTATCCCAGTCCTTCAAATTCATATGTTGGTTTTCTTTCCTAGTCTAACTAGGAGTTATCACTGCTTCTTTGTAATTCATATAAAATTGCATTACTCTTTTATTATGGCATTTCCTACCCTATATCATGATTAATTGTATACATACCATTAGTGTGACATTAGGAAAATTATTTAACTTCTCTGTGTAGCTCCCTCATGGTAAAACACGATAATGATGCCTGCCTTAAAGGGGTTTTCAGGATTAAGGGGAGTAAAGCATCACAGTGCCAGACAAATAGTGCCAAGTAAATATTGGCTCACTTCTTTCCTTCCCTACATATCATCCTCCCTACTAAACTGTAATATTATATAGGCCTGACATAGGAGTCTTTGAACATAGCAGACAAGTTCTTCACCAAAAATACTGAAATAATGTATATGCTATACTGGTTACTGACCAGCTCTTCTTCTGAATAACAAAAATAGCTGTGATTATAATACATTCCTAAGCCTTACACAGCTATGGTATCGTGCATTTTGTAGTATGCCAACCAAGTACAGTAAAACCTTGGGTTGCGAGTAACTTGGTTTGCGAGTGTTCCGCAAGACAAGCAAACATTTCTAATACATTTTAATGTGGTAAACGAGCGATGTCTCGCAATACAAGTAGTTTGTTTCCAGAATGAATTATGCTCGCAAACCAAGGTATTACTGTACATGATTTACATAAAAATTTAGTCAATCAATAAATCATACTGATCTACCCAATTCCTACATGCATATCTACAAAAATGTAGACATCATAAGAGCAGAGACCTGGGCTAACTTGTTCTTGCTGCTCCCTCAAATGATTAGAATGGTCCCAGCACACAGCAGACACCCAATAGAAACTCACTGAATGAGAGATCTACTAGAAAAAAGACATCAGACAAATCTCACACAAACCCATCTTAAATCTAAACTGAGCCCACCTCCTACATTAAAAAAGCCACACTAATATCCATGTCACAGAAAGGAAAAACAAGCACTACTATGCTCTACTACCATGTGTTTTTTTTTTAAAACATGATCTAGAGACAGTGATATAAATTTTATTTTTGCTAAGGTATCCATTTAAAAAAAGAAAACCCCCAAAAAACTGAAATTAGAGTTTTAAAAACTTAATTCTCAAAAAATATTTTTTTTTATTGTAAAAATATTATAGCTAACATCAAGCTTAATAGTTAAAGACCAGATGCTTTCCTTTTCAGATCAGGAACAAGACAGGCTGAATGCCCTTGCCACTTGGACTCAACATTACACTGGAGGTTCTAGTCAGGGCAACTAAGCAAGAAAAAGAAATAAAAGGCATCTAGATGGGAAAGAAAAAGTAAAACTATTCATTCATCACATGCTGTTGTAAGTAGAAAATCCTAAGAAGTCCATAAAAAAACCAAAACACCCCAAAAACAAAACCCAAAACTAATAGAACTAAGAAATGAGTTCTTAGGGCTGGCCGAGTGACTCAGCCGGCCGAGTGACTTGAGCGACCTCTGAGCAATAGCGGTTAGATGCCTGGCCGGAGCTGAGCTGCCCACAAGCTGCCAACAAGTGACAGGATGGCTCAGCTAAAAAAAAAAAAAAGAAAAAAAAGAAATGAGTTCAGCAAGGCTGCAGGATGTAAGATCAATATATAAAAATCAAATTGTATGTCTATACACTAGCAATGAACAATTCATAAATGAAATTAAGAAAACAATTCCATTTATAATAATATCAGAAAGAGTAAAATACTTAGGAATAAATTAAACAAAGGAAGCACAAGACTTGTACACTGAAAACACAACACATTGCTGAAAGAAATTAAAGACCTAAATAAATGAAAAGATATATCCATGCTCATGGATTGGATTGAAAGACTGCCTTTTTTTTTTTTTAAAGATTTTTTTAAATTAGGGAATTGGGGGAGGGGAACAGTTTTGGGGAATCTGGGAAGGGGAACAGACAAGTTGCTGTCCTTTTGTTCTTCAGTCTAGTTGTGGAGGACGTCACTTCACTGGCCCATGTTGGTATTGTGATCATTGCGCTCTTCCCGGGTCAGGCAGTTGCTTGCCCGCCATTGGACAGCCAGTCATGGTGGCTCACAGCAGCTCATGAAAGCTCACGCCAGCTGCTGGCCAGCCCCACTGCAGCCTATGGTAGCCCTCTCCAGGTCGAGCTGTTGTCATCTTAGCTGTAGAGGGTGGAGTCAATGGCCCTCGTGTGGGATCTGAGCCGGGGCCCCGCTGCTGCTGAGAGCTGGCGTCCCAAGCCAACTCTTAACCAATGCGCCACTCGGCCGGCCCAAGACTGCCTATTTTTAATATGGCAACAATCCCCAAATGGATCTGTGAAGTCAATGCAATCTCTATCAAAATGTGAGCTGTCTTTTTTGCAACTGCCAAGCTGATCCTAAAATTTATATGGAATTGCAAGGGACTTAGAATAGCCATAGCAATCTTGGAAAACAAGAATGAAATTGAAAGACTCTCACTTCTCAATTTCACAACTTACTGCAAAGATAAAGTAATCAAAACAGTGTGATGTAAAGACAGACATATAGATCAATGGAATAAAACTGAGAATCCAGGAATAAATCTACGTATTTATAGTCAACTGGTTTTTGACAAGAATGCTAAGACAATTCAGTGGGGGAAGAATAAGTTTTTTCAACAAATGGTGCTGGGACAACTGGATATCCAGCTGCAAAATAATAAAGTTGGACCCTTGTCTCACACCTCATACAAAATGAACTCAAAATGGAACACAGGCCTAAATGTAAGAGCTAAACCTATTAAAACACTTAGAAGAAAATGCAGGGGTGAATCTTTGTGATCCTGAATTAGGTAATGGTTTCTTAGATATGAAAAAATATGAAGTCCAAAAATAAACTGGACTTCATTAAAATTAAAAACGTGTGATTCTGGAGCTGGCTGAGTGGCTCAGTTGGTTAAAAGCTTGCTCAACAGTGTGAGCACTGAGCAACAGGGTCACTGGTTCGATTCCCACATGGACCAGTGAGCTTTGCCTGAGCTGAGCTGCCAAGGATGGCTCCACTGGTGAGAGCATGTGCTCCTAACAACACGGTTGCCTGTTTGAGATGGTGGGCTACGCCCGCCTGCAACTAAAGACTGAAGTTGGCACCTTGAGCTGAGTTGCCATCCAGATGGCTCAGGGAATAGAGCGCGTGCTCTTAACAACAAGGCTGCCAGTTCGAATCCCGCATGGGATGGTGGCTACGCCCATTTGCAACTAATTGAACACAGGACCTTGAGCTGAGCAGCGTGACTGGACTTGGAGCTGAGCTTGCTGCGCCCTCCACAACTAAGACTGAAGGACAACAACTGGGCTGTTACCCTTCCCCAATTCCCCAACACTGTTCCCCTCCCCCAATTCCCCAATAAAATCTTTAAAAAAAAAACAAACAAAAAACTTGTGATTCAAAGGATAACATCAAGAAAAACGATAACTGATGGGAGAAAAATTTCTGCAAATCAAATACCTGATAAAAGACTTGGATTCAGAATATATAAAGAAGTCTTCAAACTCAATAAAAAAGACAACCCAATTTAAAAATGGGCAGGGCTGGCCGAGTGGCTCAGTTGGTTAAGATTTGGCTTAAGAGTGCGAGCTCTGAGTAACAGGGCTGCCGGTTCGATTCCCACATGGGCCAGTGATGCTACACCAGAGCTGAGCTGCCAACAGGTGGCAGGATGGCTCACCTGGTGTAACAAGACTGCCTGTTCAATGGTGAGCTATGCCCGCCCTCAACTAAGACTGAACTTGGCACCTTGAGCTGAGTTGCCACCTGGATGGCTCAGTGGATAGAATGTGCGCTCTTAACAACAAAGCTGCCAGGTTTGACTCCTGCATGGGATGGTGGCTACGCCCACCCGCAACTAAGATTGAACAGCACCTTGAGCTTAGAGGCCACAAGCTGCCAACAGGCAGCCAGATGGCGACTGGCGCCCTCCACAATGAAGACTGAAGAATAACTTGGCTGGTCCCCTTCCCCAATTCCCCTACACTGCTCTCCTCCCCCAATTCCTCAATAAAATCTTTTTTTATTTTAAAAGATTTTTTTTTTTAATTGGGGAATTGGCAGATGGGAACAACGCTGGGGAATTGGGGTAAGGGGAACAGACAAGTTGCTGTCCTTCTGTTCTTCAGTCTAGTTGTGAAGGACGTTGCCTCACTGGCCCAAGTTGGCACCATCATTGTGCTCTTCCCGGGCGAGGCAGATCAGTCACCGGCTCCTGACGGCCACTCACAGTGGCTGCTGGCCGCTCATGCTGGCTCCTGGCTACACACGGTAGCCCATGGCAACCCACTGCAGCAGGGGCTGCAGCCTACGCCGTCACCGGCGACTCATGGCAGCCCAGCTCCAGGTTGAGCTGTTGTTCAGCATCTTAGCTGTAGAGGGCAGTGTCACTGGCCCTCGTATGTGGGATCCGAACCGGGGCCCTCTGCCGTCCCAAGCCAGCTCTTAACCAACGTGCCACTCGGTCGGCCCGGCAATTTGCTTTTCTCACTTCACAAATCACTGTGGACCTTTTTCCATGTTAGCATAATACATAAAAACTGATTTGATTTTTAAAATGCCTGCATAGTATTCCATTAGATGGATATCGCAAAATTTAACCAGTCTCTAATTAGCATTTGGATTATTTCCAGTTCTTTGATATTATAAAGCGTTGTTTTGAACACTGCAGAACACATCTGTCATATTTCAGACTGCCCAGTCCCTTCTAAATACCCCTCCTAGGCTTGGACTTAGGAAGCCCACCACGCCTCTTGTCAATGGCAGAAAAGGGCTTTTCCAGCCTTTCTTGCAGTCTGATACAGACCTAAGTTCTACCAACCAGCTGTACCACAAGACTCCCACTGGCAGTGAGCAAGGTGAGTAAAGGAATTTATGGTAAGCAGACCCCGTGTTCTAGTGAGCGAAGTGGCAGGCCTACTGGGTTTGAGAGTTGCTCCTGGCTTTGACTGAGATTTTCATTTCCATAATGATTTTATTATTATCTTTATTTTCTTTCCAGGCCTTTAACAGTTCATTTTCCATCTGCTTTTGTTCACTAAACTCCTTTTTTTCCTCTGATCTTTTTTATTTAACAGTTTTATTGAGGTATAACTTGCATATCATAAAATTCATTCAAGTGTACAATTCAATGATTTTTAAAGTAAATTTAGAGTGTGACACCATCATCACAATTCAATTTTAGAACATTTCCTTCACCCCAAAAAGATTTCACCTGCCCATTTCCCCAGGCCTTTTATATCAATTCCTTGAGCTCTTCCCACCCCACTCTGTTAGCTAATCTTAATTTTTAAATATTTTTGACAGTGCAGAAGAGTACTTGTCTGGGCTAATTCTTCTGAAGTGTAACCTCCATTTGTTGTTTGCTTACTATTATATTTTCCTACTTTTTTTAATGGTGGTATCTATGGTAGTATCTAGTCCCAATAGACTTCCTTCTGCTTTAATTCATCTTTAAATAAAAACTTGAGGAAAAGAAGAGATGTGAATGGCATGTAGAAAGAGTGGCATGTAAGAGTTAATATGGCAGGCCAAAGTATTATCAAGGATGATGCTCAGCATTCACTACAGTAACCTAACCTAATACAGAAGGAAAACAGACCACCTTGGCTTTTCTATGGGAGAGCAGAACCCAGGTCACAGCTAAAGACAAGAGAGAATGATGAAGACATTTCTTGGGATCAGTCAAGGTGATTACGGACGTAACCTCTAATGTATTGGGTTGTCAGAAAAGTCATGACACATTTTTGCATGAAAAACAGAAAAATATGTCGTGACTTTTCCAACAACCTAATAATTTCTATGAGAAATCTAAAAATATCAACTTGAGCCAGCCGAGTGGCTCAGTTGGTTAAGAGCTCGCTCAAGAGTTTGAGCTCTGAGCAACAGTGGTTCGATTCCCGGCCCGAGCTGAGTTGCTGCTGAGCTGCCAACAGGTCTGGCAGGATGGCTCAGCTAAAAATGAACAAACAAAAACCAAAAAAACAACAAGAATAAAAATATCAACTTGGGATTCAAACAGGAAGGAAGCTTTTTCAGATGAAGGTTTAAGGATAGGTCAATCATTTACCAGGAGATAATAATAATGTGGACTAGCCAGAAAGACCACATGACTACAGACCTACGCTAAAGGGAGAGGAAGTTAAACAGTTTTCTGAAGAGACAATGTAATGCTTGAAACTCTCCCCACTGAGAAATAGCTACTTTCAGATACCACTGGGGCAGTGTGTAACTGTAAAACGCACTCAAAAAGCAATTTGTTAATATGAATAAAGAGCAATAAAACTGATCATACACTTAAATATTTCCTTGAGGAATCTATTCTAAGGAAATTATTTGAAATTTGAGAAATTTATATGGATAAAGATGTTCCCACAGCATTACTTATAATAGTGAAAAGTTTGAGACAACCTATGTGACTAACAGTGAAGAAATGGTTAAGACCATTAGGTATGTCCATCCACACACATAATGATTATGTAATTAATCAAAATGTAATTACCACTGTGATACAGGAACATATATATGTTAACTTACATAATATGTTTATATGTGAACCTAAGAAAAAGGATATAAAATTATAGTATACCGCAACTATAAAACGCATGCACATAAAAAGACTGGAAAGGAATTTACAAAAATTATAATAGTTACACTGAGTTACATGAGATTATGGATGAATTATACCCCCTTTTCTTTGTTGTTGTTATGTTAATTCCAAAGTAAAAAAAAAATTTTTTTTCTGTTAGTAGTGAGAATGAATGTCATGAAGTGAGATAAGACGGCAGTACGACAACTTGACCATATGAAAAAGTATCTGTAAGATACTCCAAAGAGGCTTGGAACACAGGCCCTTCCCCTGCAGTAAAGACTAAAAGAAAAGGCTGCCATGGACATTTCTTTCTGGAAGAAGGTGTTTCAAGTTCCACTGCCTCAGATAAACAACTTTTCAGTACACAAAGAGAAGTGATGAGAGCTGCCCAGTCCAAAGGGGTCTTCTGAGAACCTGGCATGAATCAAGTAACAACAGAGCATTTATTACATGTAAGGTAGGCTGACACATTCCAAAAGAAAAACAAACATAAAGACGTGTCTCCTAGTGGGTGGGAGAAAATCGCTTTCTGTACCTTAAACACACCATGTCCTATGGGCTGAATGTGGTCCTAAGGATGTACCTGTGCTCCATGTAGCAGCTCAGGGGCTCCACGCACACTGTGATGGCCCCAATGGTGAAGGAGGACTTGACATTTGAATCTGGATGGGTTTGCAGGGCCTGGACAACATCAATAACATCTGTGTAACTGGGGAAGAAAAGGGAAAGATTAGTTCACTGATTGGGCTGCAGAGAGGCAGGGGGTGGGCGGGGAGAGGGGACCACTGAGCGGCTGAGTGAGCAGGGGTAGGGAAGATCAAAGGAGGAGCCTGGGAGTCCTTGGGGGTCACACTATTTCATGATTTAGAACCCCTAGAGTCCATAGTGTTTCTGCATTCCCAAGTTCCATTAGTCCTCATAACTGCAAGAGTGAGTGGAAGAATACCCCCTCTCTCCCCGATCTGGGGGTAAAGGGAAGCATGTACAGGTGACTCTGGCGGTCTGAAGGTGGGACTCCATGTCTGTAGGCCTGTTTTCTAATGAAGTTAGGAGCTCCTGCACTGGTCTTTTTCTTTTTGTTTTTTTTAAAGATTTTTATTGGGGAATTGGGGGAGGGGAACAGACAAGTTGCTGTCCTTTTGTTCTTCAGTCTAGTTGTGGAGGATGTCGTTTCATTGGCCCATGTTGGTATTGTGATCAATGCATTCTTCACGGGTAAGGAAGGTCGGTCGCTGGCGGCTGGACGGCTGCTCATGGTGGCTCTTGGCAGCTCTTGGGGCTGCCAGCCATTCACGGTAGCTCATGGCAGCTCACGGCAGCCCACTGCAGCCCCACTGCAGCAGGGGATGCAGCCTACGCTGTAGCTGTCGACTCAGGGCAGCCCAGCTCCAGGTTGACTTATTGTTCACCATCTTAGCTGTAGAGGGCCGCGTCATTGGACCTCATGTGGGATCCAAACTGGGGTCCTGTTGCTCCGAGCTGGAGTCCCAAGCGAACTATTAACCAATGCACCACTTGGCAGGCCCTGGTCTACTCTTTTAAAAATAATTGTTTCCTTTACTTCCGCCTCACAGAACATGTGGGCAAGAGAGAAAGGGGGATCATCAGGTACCTACCTCTCCAGGTCAGTAGACATGTCAAATACTGCTTGCATTCATATTTCCTGCCTGGAACTCCCTCCAAACTCCAGATATTTCCACTTAGAACTTACTATGTTCATGATCCAACTCCCCACACCTGCATCTCCCAAGGCCTTGTCCTTTCAACAGAAGAGACTCCTTCAGCTGTTAGGCCAAAAGATTTGTTTGGAGTCATCACTAACTCCATTTTTTTCTCAATCTTCAAAATATAACTAGAATGAGATCACTGCTCACACTCTCATGCTACTATTGGGTCCAAACTGCTACATCTCTTGCCTAGGTCACCCCTCTGGTACCCTCACTGGCCTGTCTGCTTCTGTCATTGCCTCTTCCCAACCTGTTTTCAACACAGGAGCCAGAGGAATTGTGCTAATCCCATCGTGCTAAGCCACTGGGTGAGTGGCTTTCATCCCACTCAGTCAGTGAAAGCCAAAGCCATCACAATGAACCAATAGCCCCCTATGATCTGATCCCCACCCTAGGAGTTTCATCTCCTGCTATTCCTTCCTCTACCTGAATCCAGCCACTTTGGCCTCCTGGCTATTCCCTGAACATGCCAAGCATACTTCCACTGTGCACTCTCTGTCCCCTCTCCTGTGATGCTCTTTTCCTCATATGTCTGCAAGGGTTGCTCCCTCACTCCCTTATGAGGGAGGTGTCCTCTGACTTCATACGGCCTATGTGATACAGCAACCCCCCCTTTGGCACAACCTGTCCCTATCCCACTTCTCCAAAGCACTGAACATCAGCTACATACTCTGTATTTTCTCATCTATATATTTACAGTCTGTCTTTCCAATTAAAATGTAAAGTGGTTGTTGAGTGGTGTAATCTACGGTGCCCAAAGCAGGGTAGATAAATGAACGGGACATTCAACCCCAGGGAGACTCATGGCCACTCCAACAGGGGACCTGCCCTTTCACTCTGTGGAGAACATTTTCCCAATTGACCCAGCCTATCACCAAAAGGTCAGTTCCTATGGTGGGAAGGCAAAGCTGATAGGCAGCCTTGCTGATCATATGGGCCTGGGTCCTAGCCTGGGAACTTGGGAGGCCCGTGTTGGTGGCTGGGAGGATACGTACAGCCTGCCTGAGCCATTTCCCGAGTTGCTACACACACAGCTCATCTGTGAAATATGCACTTGGCTTTATCCTTGATTACAATTTTAGCACCCCTCCCCCAAGGTCTGTCTCTGTCCCACAAACCAGAAGTGCTTCAGTAAAGAACTGGGTGTCGGGCCGGCCGAGTGGCGCGATTGTTAAGAACTGGCTTGGGACGCCAGAGGGCCCTGGTTCGGATCCCACATATGAGGGCCAGTGACACTGCCCTCCACAGCTAAGATGCTGAACAACAGCTCAACCTGGAGCTGGGCTGACGTGAGTCGCCGGCGATGACGTAGGCTGCAGCCCCTGTGGCAGTGGGTTGCCATGGGCTACTGTATGTAGACAGCAGCCAGCGTGAGCAGCCAGCAGCTGCCGTGAGTGGCCATCCAGAAGCCGGTGACTGATCTGCCTCACCCAGGAAGAGCGCAATGATGGTGCCAACTTGGGCCAGTGAAGCAACGTCCTCCACAACTAGACTGAAGAACAAAACGACAGCAACTTTTCTGTTCCCCTTCCCCCAATTCCCCAATAAAAATCTTAAAAAAAAAAAAAAAAAAAGAACTGGGTGTCCGAGGTTCTAGAGGTCTCCTATGAAGGCCTGGCGGCCAGAGAGCCTTTAAAATGAGCCTACTGCTCGCTGGCTTCTCTTGAAGGCTTTTCCTCCTGCCTGGTGTCTGTGTGTATGACCACGTGGGATTCTTTCCACAGGTCCTCGGTTTCTGGGTGGACCTGGATGCCAGGAGAACCCCCGTGCTGCCCACACTGTCAGGCTCTTATGCACACACAGGCTGATGCTTGCACCATGCCCCAAATCTCTTCGTGGTTGTTTAATGGATTTAACTCTCATGGTTAAGAACCCCAGCCTTGATCTTCTGCATTAGCTTTCCCTGATTCTAAAAAAACATGTCTGGGGCTGGCCGAGTGGCTCAGCTGGTTAAGAGCACACTCAAGAGTGCGAGCTCTGAGAAATAGGGTCACCAGTTTGATTCCCGGCCCGAGCTGAGCTGCCAACAGGTGGCAGGATGGCTCAGCTAAAAAATAAATAAATAAATAAAATAAAAAAAAGTGTTTGGGAGCTTTTTATTTTGCATGTTTGGTATAAACCTGTAGAGACTCTCATTTCTTGGGGTTGCAAAGAACTGAAAGGTTTACAAGCCAATCCTACAGATTTTGGTCATTTTAATACAATAGGTTTACCCTTAGAGAGGGTGGCTGGGGAATTCCCAGGTTTTCAGAGCATTCCATTCATCTTCATTTATTTGAATGAAAGAAGGTTAGACTGAAAACAGGCAGCAGACTCCCTGATGAGGCCAGTGCATCTATGTGATGCATCTGGGCACTGCAGCCCAGAGCCACTGTCGCAAGACAGGAGGCCCTTGGTGTCACCCACTCTACTTATTAAGGGGGTCCTGCTGGACCCTCCCTCCCCAGCCCCTGCTCTATAGTAATTATCCTGGGTGTGGCCTCCAAACAGAAGGAGGTAGCTCTCATCACAGAAGCAGGACACTACAGCTGCCAGAGCTTGCACCCAGCTACTGTGGCTAAACTGCTCAAATGCAAGATGAAGGCAAAAAACTGGTTCTTCATGTTTGCCTCTTTCTTGTCAGTACTCTCTTTATTAAAAACAAAAACAAAACAAAAGCCCAGCAGGACTTGAACTTTCTTTACTCTGAAATAAGATATTCAATTCAAGTGTCCTTTGGACTCTGTTTTATGTTTGCAATTTAAGCCTACAATTTGGGCACACGTTTTACATTAATTCAATTTTTGTTTTGAGAGAGATTCTTTGTTTTAAATGTAGATAATTTAAAGAATAATTTTATAACATTCCAAAGTGTACACAACTATAGCTCCTTAAATGCCGTAACATTAGTTTTAAAAAATTCTGATTTCCCCAGTTTGACTTATTTGTGTATTATATGTATTAAGTTCTATATGATTTTGTCACCTGTGCAGATTCCTATATTCGCCACCATCAAGACACTGAACAGTTCTATCACTACAAAGATTCTTCGTATTGCCTTTTATAACCACACCCACCTCCCTCCTGTCCCCCACTCCCATCCCTAACTCCTGACAACCACTATTCGGTCCTATATTTAAACATTTTTATCATTTCAAAAATACGTTAATTTTTAAAACAATGACAAGTAGTTCCATTTGATGTTAAAGCTCAATACCACTGCCCTTCAATGACTTAACCCACTGCTGCAGTCAGTCAAATGGCTCCAGCCTACTCTAGGAGCAAAATAAAACTCTGCCTTAACCACAGGTTTCTCCCAAAGAATCCTATAAATGAAGATAAAAGTAACATTAAAATAATAAATTGTCAACTGAGAAGCTTCTGGGGTCTCCCTTCACCAGCAATCTCAATACTGGGCTCGAAGGTCCAGCCCCAAGCAGATGGGACATGTAAAAAGGAGGCTGTCACAGGTTCCCTGCTGAGTCTCACGAGAACGGGCCCAGCCTGTAGGACGGCGTCTTAGTGAGAGCCACAACACTTAGCTGATACCCTAGCTTGAGGCCTGCAGTAAATCTGAGGTCCCTAGCATCCTGGAGCTATGATTGGGCAAAGGCTGGGTCTGAGAGTACGAGAGTGGGCTGTCGCTGCAGTCCAGAGTGGCCAGGACAGCTGACACTTTTGCAGACTTGTACAGTCAGAGACAGGCAGTCAGAGATATTCTCTGAAGTAATGGAAGATGGCAATAACCTCAGCTTCACAATGTTAAGCTGCTAAATTTGACTCCAGGTCCACATCCCCAATGACTCTCAACTCTGACAGGGGTCAATCCACTCTTTTGACCATTAGGAGCGATGAGACAACCAGAATAAAACAAGTGGCTTCAGGTCCAGACTCTTGCTCTGTGGCTTCCACAACCTCAGCCCAAAAGCAGGAAAAAAGGGACTGAATGAAGGGAAGCCCAGGGCAGGGGTGAAAACAAGGCTTGAAGAAGAGGCCCAGTGGGGTGCCCGGTCCTGCCCATCTCCTGCTTCAGGATCACTGGCCCAGCTTTCCTCCAGTTTTTTTTTTTGTTTGTTTCCTCCAGGAGAACAAATAGGGCTTTGGATCTGGGCCTGTTCTTTACTGGAAACAATTAGCAAATTGCAAATACTAATTATTATGAGCACAAAAAACATAGCATAGCACAAAAGCACTTTGTGGGAACTGCCAAGTATTTATTACCAATCATAATGACACCAGTGAAGAGCATAGCCCGCGTTTTCCTGACCCAGCACATTCTCCTCTGGGCCGGGGGAGGGGGTGGGAGAAGTGGGGGTGATAGGGCTGCACAGGACTCCTCCTCCCTGGAAGGCCTTACAACAGGTCAAGGGAAGCTCCTTGCGGCCAGGGCCTCCCGAACAGTGGTACACACTGTCAGACCTGTCCTCCCAGGGAGCTTCTTGCTCAAATGGACTATTCTCACTGAGGGTCCCAGGAAACCCTCCTAAAACCAACCATCCCAGGGATGATGGGGCTTCAGATTGCAGAATGTAGGGCTGTCTCTGCAACTCCACAGGAGAGCGGGCTGAAACAGATAAAGCTCCCTTGCCTAAAAAGTGAAGGAAGAGGTTTAGGGACCACTATTGTAAGAATTATCAAAGAATATTGCCCAGAAAACTTCCTCCTTAATTCTCCATCTTTTGGGGGATATTATGATATTTAAGCCAAACTTAAAACTTGTGTGCAAGCTACACCAGCCACTCTAGGCCACCGGGTGGCAACAAGAGTCCTTGCTCTTAAAGCCTCTCTGTGCAGCGCAGATACTGCTGATGAACGTGTGGCATTTGTTCTGTGCCCCAGGTTGGCCACATATGAAATCACAGTAATGGCAAGGTCACCACCCTACCCCATTGTTCCCTAGAAGATTTCCAGTGCTCACCCTTGTAATACCACCAGCAGTCTGGCCTTCTTGCGGATGTAGGCTGACTGGCGGGCAGAGCAGTTGCGTTGGGCCTCCAGGGCACTGGAAAGGTACTTCTGGAAATGGGCAGCATGAAAACATTTGGAGCTATCCATGATTTGGCGGTACACCATCCACCTGGAAATGGCAAGTGTAATCTCAGCGTGGGGGCCACCTGATAGCCTGTCCCCATAAGCTCAGCTAGTGGATGCAAATGTGACCAGTACTCCCACATTCTGCCCAGTGAATCCGTACAGGGGAGGGCAATCTTGGCACCACAGAAACAGGCAGAGGGCACGGTCTGGGTGGGGAGTCCCATATTTTGAAACCACAACCCTTGGAGCTTTTGACTGGAAATGTCTTGAAACAGGGAAAAAGGTCAACAGACTCGACCAATAGACTTCAGAGTTTAGAAAGACTCATGACCAGGCAGTCACTTCCTGAAGGACCATCTGATACAATGGCTTTAGTCTGGTGCTCAGTAAAACTCTTGCTCAAAATAAGAAATGGGCAGGGTGAAGAATTCAGACTGCTTATAGAGCAAAAGCAATGGAAATGAGGGAGAAACTGGTTAACTACTGTATTTAGTGCTTATTAGGTTGTCGAAAAAGTGATGATGCATTTTTTTTTTTTAGCTGAGCCATCCTGCTACCTGTTGGCAGCTCAGCGGCTGCTCATCATGATGCATTTTTGCAATGAAAAATAGAGAAAATGCATCATGACTTTTCTGACAACCCAATATAAAGGAGGTCCAATATTTCCCTAGCATCTCTCCAAAACTCCCAAACCTCTAGACCAGCGGTTCTCAACCTGTGGGTCGCGACCCCTTTGGGGGTCGAACAACCCTTTCGCAGGGGTTGCCTAAGACCATCGGAAAACAAAAAGATACTTACATTACGACTCATAACAGTAGCAAAATTACAGTTCTAGAGTAGCAACGAAAATGATTTTATGGTTCGGGGTCACCACAACATGAGGAACTGTATTAAGGGGTCGCGGCATTAGGAAGGTTGAGAACCGCTGCTCTAGGCGATTGCAGTCTTCTCAAATTCCTCTATGGCCTCCTGGAAGATGCCTTACTTTGAGGATGACTGACTAGATATTAAATGCCCTGCTCAGTCAGGAGAGTTGTTTATTAACCTGCCAGGCAGGTAGAAGGGGTGGATGAATGAATGATTCCACCTAATCCCACATGTCCCAGCTGCACCTGAACTCACACGGTCCCCCTGTGGTCAGGGAAGGATCACATCATCACTCACCAGCTCCCAAGCTCTAACCACCCTGGTACTGAATTGCCCTGCTGACCAGGCACACTCCCAGGCCTTTGCCTGTGCTGGTCCTGCTGTTACAGTGCTCTTCCCAGAGAGCTAAGGGTTCACTTCCTCATTTCCTGAGGTCTTTGCTCAAATGTCACCTTCTCAGTGAGACCTTCCCTGAGCAACCAATTTAAAGCTGGGATCCCTGCTCTCCCCTGACCCCCACCCTATGACGATTCCCTGCACTCCCTATAGCCTTCTCTGCTTTATTTCTCCACAGCACTTTTCCTTAATATACTATTTTCCTTATCTGGTTAATTGTCTTCCCACACTAGCATGTAAGCTCCATGAGAGCACAGATTTCCTAGTGTATTTTGTTCATTTGTCCTCCACACTTAGAACAGTGCCTGGCACACACGAAGGGCTCAGTACAGATGTGTCAAATGAATGAATGGATGCTGACTACTGTGTTGATACCAACTATATCAGGACACGTCAAAGGTTTCCCAGTGCCTAGGCAGGCCCAGGCATAGAATCCCTTTCCCCAAAGCAAAGGCAGCAGCCATACTAACCTGCCATATTCCTTATGCAGAGTGACCAGAAAAGCACAGAGCTCGCTAGCATGACAGCCCGGGAGGCCAGTTACAATGCTGATAATGACCTACATGAAAGAAAAGCCATGTGGGTTTGTGATTCAACTGGGAGGCAGTGCTGTGTGAAAGGTTAAGAGAACGGACTTCTAGAGTCAGGTTCAAGCAACTCCTGTCTGCAGGCAGAGGGATGGCTGAAGAGAATCTAAAGGGCTGCCTCCATGCTCCTGGTTGAAGGACAAGCACAAGGAGTAGGAAGGACCAGCAAGCAGTAAGAGGGAGACACTGACTGGCTTGAGACGCCATCTGCAGCCAAGGCCAGCTCTTGTCTCCTCCGTGTTCCAGGAATCCGCCCTGAGGGAGGGACACTGTCCCCTCACGAGCTGCGGCAATCACACCTTTCCAAGCATTTCCACCCACCATGAGGCGGGCTATCCGTTTGAACTCACTAGCTATGGGACCTTGAACTAACAAAAGAACCTACCTTGTGGGGTAGGTGTGATGATTAACTGAGCTAATATATGTAAAGTGCTTAGAACATGGCCTGGTACATAGCAGACACATTTTAAATTTTGTATTGCTATTATAATTTTCATGGAGCAGGTTGTGACTAGATCAGTTAAAATACAATGGAAAATACTGGGCAGGAAGTAGGTCTGGGACAAAAATGCCATGGGCTCAGGTGACGTGGCAATCTCAGAGAAGGAGACAAGTGGCACTGGAGGTGTTTCTGTCTGGTTGCCATACCCTCCAAGCCACATAGACTGAGCTAAGGAAACAAACTGGGGTAGGAAGCATTTCTGAGTCTTCATGGGGAGAAGAGGAGTCAGGCTGACTGTCCTAACCTTGGTACACAACCACATGGAAACAGGGCCCTCTGCAGGCAGATATTGCAAAGCATCTTAAAGAAATCCACTGACAAAGAAGGGATCCAGCAGGGAAGAAAGGAACCATGCAATTGCTGAAGAATATAGATATAAATGACAGCATGGCAAGGGCCTCTTTAAGTGTGTGTTTTATCACAACACACAAGACTCACTGGGACAGGCCTGGTCACAGATAACTTAGACTAAAGCTCAGCCTGCTGGCCTCCATCATTTGAGTTGGTCACATCCACAGAGAGATGGCTGTGGATCCCTCTCCTTTTGTGGGAACCACAAACTCTCCTACCTCTCCTCTGACCAGCCTCCTACTCCGTATCCCTTTCTGTCCCTGTGGGCAGTACTCCACGTATCTGACTTGTTTATCCTCCTCCCATCCAAATTTCCCCGTCTTGGTGCCTATGCCTCAGTGCCCAGGCCTCTGTTTACAGCACACATGTTTACAGCCAGATACCTTCTTAGTTTAAGGCCAGTCCTACAGCACCTTTTAAAGAAAATGGAACAGCCAGGCATTTTCATTTTTAAACTCCTGCCTAAGGGGAAAATGAGGCTTCTGATTGCTTAGTGCTTCTATTTTCTTTTGCAGCTGCCTTCTAGGTTTGCACAGAAATAAATGCCCCCTTGAGTACATAAAGACATGGTTCCAAAGAAATGGTGGGAGGGGTTAAGAGGAAGGGAGTGTGAGGCAGGAGCAGATTAAAATCCACTCTTGGGAAGACAATGTTTATAAAGTATCACCTTACCCTGGTGATGACAGCAAGGCCCAACTAACAAGGGCCATCCCTTTGTTAAGCTCAACACGTCACCACTGCCAGCTAAGTCCTTGTCACAACCAGGAAGAGCTGATGGCATGACAGCACTGAGCAAGAGTCTGAAAAGCCTGGAGAAGCAAGGGAAGGCCCGACAAGGTGCCAGGGTTGCATCACTGCCATGGGGCTTGGCTGGGGTTAATTTGGACACCTGTCCACAGTCTTTGTGGAGAGCAGGTTTCATGTGTATCATTACATCAGTGTCCAAGGAGGTGGAGAGTCTTATAAAAGGGACTTGGCCTGAGCTCTTTTTTGTTGACTGACAGAGGAGACCCAAGGGCAGGCTATCAGAATTCTCTTCCCATGAACTCCCAGCACAGTTGGTGAGCTGCTGTACCTTGTCATTTTCTACTTGTTGAGGAGGGTTGATGTCAGCTTGCTGCAGCAGGACAGGGAGATGGGTCCTCATCACAGGCTCCCGACTAACGCTGCTGACAGCAAAATGCTGGAGAAACCTAGAAAAACAAAGACAGTGCTATTATGTTACCATCACCAGCCTTGCCTGAATGTGCCCTTTACCATAAGAAACTCCTTATATAATTGCTGAATTAGAGAGCGTCTCTCTCCAGAATAACATTGTATATGGTGGTGTGTCACAATAACCTTTTACAATGATCCTTAAGAAGCTACAAAGAGAAAGGAGCTTAGAAAGGACCAACACTGAGGTTTCTCATATTTCAAAAGCCAGAACATTAAACATCTATAAACAGAAAACCAGAGCTCACCAGTCCAGATCTGGGAGTTTGGCTGCGAGTAGCTTTAGAGGACTCCGTTTCTCCCCGGCAGAATGGCTCAGGACATTGAGGAGCTTCTGTGCGCTGGAGTGTCTGGAATATCAAAAGCTCACAGATTAGAATTCCATCTCCTTCTAGCACACATACTTTACATAACTTGTTCTGATGCTTTCAAGCCAGCATCCCATCGCAGAGTGAACACTTCCAAAACAAGCCTCTCACGGACTTAAACAAAATGTGGCGTCAGTGCATGGCACCTAATGTGCCCACACAGGAAGGCTGGCCTGAAACCCTTCGTAACACTGTGTTTCTGATTCTTGGTGGATTTCATCTTCCTTGACTTCTGTTTCCTAAGGGCACTTGCTACCTGCAAGCTGGCAGCACTGAAATGACTGTGTCGGCCCTTTTGGAAGCCAAAACCCCTGTGTTACATAACGCAGTCATCCTGCAGAGAGAGCAGACACGCACAGCTTAGGGGAGCAAGTGTAAACACTGAAGGCAGCCACTTACAATCTCTTTTGTTCCACAGATAATCCATCTTCCTGGATCACTTTGAAAGACAGCCCTGAGTTAGCCTGCTGTTGCCAGAGGGAGAAGACCTAAACAAAACAGAATTTGAGCAAAGAACACTTTAAAACCAACAACAGGATATGGAACCCACATGGGGATTTGATGGTTGTTGAAAATCTAGACGGTGGGTACAGAGACAAACCATCATAACAAACAAGTTTGTTTCAAAAACAGAGGCCTGCAGCAATTTTGTTCTGTATTTTTCAAAACTAAAATTTCTTTCTGGGTTCCTCTCCCAGGGATTCTGCTCCTTTAGAGGGCAGGAAGCACGGAGGAAAGTGTCAGGTAACACTGTTCCGGCAGAAGGGCCATGTTCTGCCCCGGTGAAAGGGCCAGGCAGAAGGAGGGGTTTGAGCAACTCCTGTCTGCAGGCAGAGGGATGGCTGAAGAGAATCTAAAGGGCTGCCTCCATGCTCCTGGTTGAAGGACAAGCACAAGGAGTAGGAAGGACCAGCAAGCAGTAAGAGGGAGACACTGACTGGCTTGAGACGCCATCTGCAGCCAAGGCCAGCTCTTGTCTCCTCCATGTTCCAGGAATCTGTCCTGAGGAAAGGACACTGTCCCCTCACAAGCTGCGGCAATCACACCTTTCCAAGCATTTCCACTCATCATGAGGCTGGCCATCTGTTTGGCTTTGGCTGCTGCTTGGTCTCTAAGTGGGTTGTATAATTCTCAGTCAGCTCCCTCACTCATGCAATCTGTGCTGAGTGCCGATAATATACAGCCTGCCAGGTGGGACCATTCAGAAAGGCAGGGCCTGTGAACACCGGGAGGGAGAGCCTGGGGTGGGGTAGAGAGCTCTGATCCAGTAGGTAGGGCCCAACTATTCAACAAAGTAGCTGGAAGAAAAATGAGTCTAATTAGGATTTAAAGGGACAAAGAAGATTTTTCTTAGAAGATGAAAAAAAAGCCTTTTGTTCAGTTCCTTTAGGTTCTCACCTTTGAATGGCAACACCACCATTCCAGGACCCAAAGGGATTAGATGCAGCCATCTCTTATAACTCTCCCTTTCATTACCTCACTATTAATGCTGAGAAGCTGCCTTAGTATCTAAACTGCTAAAAAAATAAAAATAAAATAAGTAGTTTCGCTGACTAATGATTGATGTTACCTCTGAGTAAAATGCTTGGTGTATCTTTGATTTGGGAAAAAGGGCAATCATCAGAAAGTTGCTCGATCCATGGATATGAACTGGGAGATGAGGAAGTAATGAGCTTCTGAAGTCTATCAGAAGGGCAGCAACAATACTGGTGGAATCCTAAAGAGAAAAAGAGAGAGCGTCAATGAGAAAAGCCATTTGTATGATACCAGCCCTCACAACTACTGTCACACACATAATAATTTCAGTGCCATTATTTTCACATCATGTAGTTTATTGGGGTTGAATTATAGATGTGCTTCCCAATATATGAGATATAGGAAGTAAGAGGGTCTTTTTTTAAAATAATTTTTATTGGGGAATTGGGGGAAGGGGAACAGTCAAGTTGCTGTCCTTCTGTTCTTCAGTCTAGTTGTGGAGGACGTTGCTTCACTGGCCCAAGTTGGCACCATCATTGCACTCTTCCCAGGAGGCAGATCAGTTGCCGGCTTCTGGATGGCCGCTCACGGTGGCATGAGGGCTGCTCATGCTGGCTGCTGGCTACACACGGTAGCCCATGGCAACCCACTGCAGCAGGGGCTGCAGCCTACACCATCACCACAGCAGCCCAGCTCCAGGTTGAGCTGTTGTTCAGCATCTTAGCTGTAGAGGGCAGTGTCACTGGCCCTCGTATGTGGGATCCGAACCGGGGCCCTCTGGCGTCCCAAGCCAGTTCTTAACCAACATGCCACTCGGCCGGCCCTCTTTTTTTTTTTTTTTTTTTAAAGATTTTATTGGGGAATTGGGGAAGGGTAACAGTGTTGGGGAATTGGGGGAGGGGAACAGCCAAGTTGTTGTCCTTTAGTCTTAGCTGTGGAGGGCACAGCTAGCTCAGCTCCAAGTCTAGTCGCCATCTGGCCGCCCGTTGGCAGCTCATGGCTGTTCAGCTCAAGGTGACATGTTCAATCTTAGTTGTGGGTGGGCGTAGCCCACCATCCCATATGGGAGTCGAACCAGCAACCATTGTTGTTAGGAGCATGTGCTCTCATCAGCTGAGCCATCCTGCCACCTGTTGGCAGCTCAGCGGCAGCTCACTGGCCCACGTGGGAATTGAACCGGCAACCCTGTTGCTCAGAGCTCGCGCTCTTAACCAACTGAGCCACTCGGCCAGCCCGGGTCTTTTCTTCTAAACTAAAAATATCTCAGAATTCTTTCTAGTGTATTAATCCCTTATCAGATATATGATTTGTAAATATCTTCTCCCATTCTGTGGATTGTTTTCATTTTCTTGCTAGTGTTCCTTGATGAACAGTTTTAATTTTTTTTTTTTTAATTTTTTATTGGGGAATTGGGAGGATAGAAACAGTGCTGGGGAATTGGGGTAAGGGGAACAGACAAGTTGCTGTCTTTTTGTTCTTCAGTCTAGTTGTTGAGGATGTTGCTTCACTGGCCCAAGCTGGCACCATCATTGCGCTCTTCCCGGGTGAGGCAGATCAGTCGCCGATGGCTGCTCACTG